GCGACTCTGTCGGTTTACTACATATGGTAATAGTTGGTATTGACTAAAAAATGAATAACAATAATATTGGTATAATGTATTATGTATAATATGATATAGGCATATATTATAATTATTTTAATAAATACATGCTACTATAATAATTAATTACCTATAAACTAAATACGATGTATTCCGCAAATAATAATTCAACTCACCTACCGTATATTATTAGTTATTACTAATTACTAATAAATAAATATATATAAAAACTATATACTTGATGATATAGGCTGGCCTGTCTCCACTCTGTATCGTTGTTTTTTATCGTAATGATTTGTCTTTGAATTCAAATTTAACACATCCATTAGTCAACTGCAGTACCTACCTACTTGATCAATGACGAGATACACTCGACTATCGACAATCGACAATCGACATTTACTGTAGTCTGTAAGTACAGTAACGCGGTTACTTACTTAATGGCTTTTTTAAAAATATTTTCCCTAATTTGACAATATTACAATATTATTTACTATGTCTGGTATATATTGGCATATAGTAAAATATTGGAGTTATTATTCAATTCTCAACACAATAACAATTGAAACACAGAGTTTACTGTTCGAAAATGAACGGTAGCATAGGTTATTATAACCATATAGTTTTTAGTTGTAAATGTTTTGATTATAAATTAGAATCATGAACTAAGATAGTACCTACCTATCGTATCTTAGTTCAATAATTTTAATATTTTGAATATTTTTTTTTATATTATTTTCTTATAATAAAATATTGGGAGTCAAATATTAATTAGATTTCATAATTATATTTTCATAATCACCACAGGTTACAGGTACCTAGAAATAATAAAATAGATTGCTAAGTGCTAACCCATGATAATATAGTTGAAATCAAAATCACAATTTTCATGAGAATTACAGATTTTGTCACCAGAACATTCAGGCTCCTGCGGTATTGCTTATTTTCATACTACCTACAACTTTCAATGAAGAATTTCGATTAATTAGATTATCAATTTTTGTCATTATTATATTATTATTATAAAATGATCAAATGTCTGTAGGTTTTTATACAGTTACTTTATTGGAATGAAAACACTGTACAAACTTTTCAAATTAAAATATCTAAAACCAATAAATAAGCTAAATAAAATGTATGCTAATTTCTTTTCGCATTATATGGCGAGTTATTTTAGATTCTGAGTGAAACGATGAATGTATTGATTTTACAATGATGTGTGTTTTTTTATTTTTTATTTTTGTGACTGTGTGCACGATATGTAGTCGAAATAATGCTTCGATTTTCTTCAACAGTATCTTTTCTGATAGGAAAGTGAATATAGTTGGTGCATTGAAGAGGTCAACATTTAAAATTACCAATAGTTTTCACAAGCAATGGGAAAAACAACATAACAATTAAGGAAAAACGGGAATTTTTTACTCAAAATCTGTTTTCCAAAAAATCGATTTTGGTTTTTGGTGTAACTCTAAAACAAATGAACGTATATACATGGAATTTTCACTGGTTGTTTATATTTGAATTTTCTATACACGATAACATTTTCAAAATATTTTGATTTATTTTGGACTGTTTAGGGACATTTTCATTTTCCATATTTTTTTAGTTTTTTTTCTAAAAATATCAATAAAATTTTTACAGCATTGGATATTCACTCGATTTCCTTATTTTGTTGTAATTCAAAAACAAATAACTATAGATACATGAAAATTTCACTGAATGTTTATATTAGCATTTCCTATACACCATACAATTTTGAAAATATTTTGACTCTTTTTGAGCTGTTTACTGACATTTTCAGTCTTCAATTTTATTATTTTTTTTTTCTATAAATATCAATAAAGTTTTATCGGTTGGGCCAAAAAGTGTAAAAATTTAATACAAGGCTCCTGATATATTGTTACAATATCAGTTGAAAAATATTTAAAATACATAGGCACAATTTTATTTTATAAGCATTTAAAGATCGAATTTTGACAAAATGTATCAAATTTAAAATTGAATAATTAATTTTTAGTTAATAACTTATAAAATGTTGAAGTTTTATATCTAAGGATTGAAAATTTAAAACATGATTCCACGTAAGTAGTTAATTCTGTTACCAGAAAATCTAAAAAATACATAAGCACAGTTAATTTTTATAGTCATTTTAATTTCAAATTTGGACGAAATTACATAATAAAAAACCTAGAATACCTAACTATTTTAGTTATTTTGTTGTGATTGTATAATATCATTCGTGGGTACTTGAAACTTCTAAAGTACACTTTTATACATCTATGATAGTATCAGGGTTTTTTGTTGATGTATAACGCGTTATAAGTACATAATGGATATTGTGATATGATTAATTTGGAATTTATTATAGGTACCTACCTATTATATGTCAATTTCTTTTCATAGGTACCATATATTAGTATATAATAATATGTCTTATACCTAGGTCCTAGACTGACATACCGTCTCCGCTCAGAAATTGTTTTTCTTATACAATGATATTATATCATTGAATTCAAATTTAATACCATCCACTATACAGTGACCCACTTGTAACCTACTGTACAGCAGAGCACCTTTTTTGTATTGAGCTAGGTATGTTTAAAAATACCGGCATACCCTGCGGAAAAAGTCTGTGCACGCCTATGTATAGTACCTACTAAGCGGTACCTATTTGCTTGGTCCTTATTTTTCCATGGACAACCGCCAGCCAAGTGCTAACGCAAAATAATATTAATATTTAATATTATTATTAATTATTATAATAGTCATTCGATATTGATACTAAAAATAATAAACATTTTCCGGTGAATGTGATAACTGATAAGAAAATATGGCATTATAATATAAATAATTTAATCCATGACTGAGGGTTATAAATAACTTCTAGATATAATAATAACATAATTATTGTTTACGAGTTTACAGTGTTTACACATACCATTTACCAGTTTTACTTAATAACCTAATAATATAATATCCCGCTAAATTTAACCGAGGTGACTTTAATAACTATTGTTATTAAGCATCGTGTTGTGTGCACTCTTGTCTTCCGGTGTTATATTCAATTTAATTAATTTAAAATGAAGCATCAAAACTTTTATTATGTAAAAAACGGTTCTAATAGTCGAGGAGTCTGGTAAGTTTTCCATGTTAATTTTATTACTTGAAAAAACTTGCAATTAAATGTTTATTTAACATGTTTGTTTATTTTATTATGCCTTACAAGTTACAATATACTTAATATGTTTTAGTTACTACAAATATAAATTTGCATCGAAGTTTGGATGTCCTGGTTCTATTAAAGTATGTGTCAATGATGGAGTAAAAATATATGAGGTACTTAAACATCATAATCATTTGGTGAATGACGAAGATTCGAATATGATTGATTTTAAAAACATTTTGAAACAAAGAAGTGAAAATGAAATTGGGTCACTAAATGAAATGTATGAAGAAGAAGCAAGATTGTAAGTCTTATTCAAATTAGTCTTTTTAAATTTATTTTTTAAGTACCTAGTAATAATTATTGATTATTATTAAATAGAAATCAGAATGCCGCGGCTCATTATTCATGGAAAACTGCTGAAAGTTTAATGAGAACTGAGAAGTTGTCGAAAACGATCATTACCACCATTACCCAACACACTTCGTGAACTCGCAGGTCAATTTGAGTCAAATCTTTTAAACAGATATCAGACTTGTGGTGAACTAATTTTTAAAGGTAATATTACTATTATAAATATAAATGTTAATTTAACTACTTCATTAAATTGTAGTTTTTAATAAAATCTAGTAAAAATTTCAATAAAAATTACCTTACGTAACATTATACATATATCATTATATATATTATATTATCTTACACTATGGGTAGTTTAATATGAAAATATAATCAAATAGTTTATTTATTAAGTTTTATACATTATATTAAATATGCACTTTATTATATTAAAAGCAGTGTAATAGTAAATGTGTTCAAAAAAAGTAGGTATGTCTAACTATTTTTGTAAATTATTGTTATTTAAAAATTAACTATCATCAAACGTTGGTTTTCAATCAATATTTAAAGTTTCCGTAGTTGCCTACCTAGATTTTTTTTACCCCTAAAGTATGGGTGGACGTATAGGATGAAAAAAATAGGTATTAAACTTATTTTATTTTAATGTAGTTTTAATATTTTTTAATTTTATATTTATAGGCTGTGTAGAGGATATTACTGGTAAGCATTCAATTGTATTTGCTTGCCAATCATTAATTGATCAAGCATTACGATTTGACGTTAATCAAATGCATGTAGATACAACTTTTAAAGTAGTGCCTAGTAAACCAAAATCCCATCAACTTTTAATAATACATTTCATGATAGACAACTATGTAAGTAATATTTAATATGAGCTAAAATAGTAACTATATTTAATATTATTATAATAGACATTTATAATTTTGAAATATTAATATTTATAACATTTTATATTCAAGGACATTCCTCTGGTGTATGCACTTATGGAAAAAAAGTGCCAATGCGTATAACTCTATACTAAATTTTGTAAAACAAAATATCTTACAACAATTCAGACCTACAATTGCAATAACAGATTACGAGACAGCATTGAGGGAAATGATTGTAAGAAACTTTCCTTCAGCCACTATTCTTGGTTGCTGGTTCCACGTAAACCAAGTTGGTTGACCTAATATATATTATTCTACAATAATATTATAGTACCTATCTAATATTTTAATCTTTTATGTATTGTTATTTCACATTTTATTATATATTTTTGAAAATAATGTTGGTGTTATAGTTTATCATCATAGTATAAATTAGTTTTATATTTCCTTTAGGCTGTGTATGAATAAACTAGGATATTTACAATTAATGAAAAACAACCCATGGGCAGTTAAAATACTCCGGATGTTAATGGTGATTCCTATGCTTCCTGCTCAACGAATTGAAGAAGGTTTTACTGAATTAAAGCGTTATGCAGGAGCACACAATATTGACTTGCATAGGTATGCTTTTTGATTATTATGAACGGTAATTTAACTCTAATAAATTATTATAGATTCTTATCACACTATACAATATTTAGTAGATGGTTTTTAGTAAGTTAATAAAAATTAGACAATCTAAATGTATTTTATTATATTAATTTATGTTAAGTTTCAAACAAATATATTTAATTTATTTTTTATTAATTATGTAGATATTGGTTAAGAAACGTAGGAGTTGAACTACTTTCTGTGTATAAAAAAGTTTATAGGACAAACAATAATATTGAATCTTTCCATAATAAACTAAAGCAAACTTTTCAAGTATCACATCCCAACATATGGGCATTTTTAGGTAATATGTGCTGAAATAACTAAAAATTATATTTGTTCGAACCCTCGTCCCTCATACATTATTAGTTACAATACATTTGTTTAGGGAATTTGTGTAAAATAAACACAAATTATTTAATAAAGTTAAATCAGTTGGAAAACGGTTTAGCTCTCACTCGAAATATGAAATCAAAGTATATAACAAACGATTCTAGAATTAGAACAGCTAGTCGTCAACTGCGTCAGGGTAGACTCAGCATTAAAAGTTTCCTTTTAAGATGTTCATTCTCCGTAGCAGGATATGAAGAAAGGATGCGTTTCATGGCTTTGGGTCAAAACAATATAGAACCTCTGTTGATGAATGATGGTAAATCCATTTTAACAGTTATTAGATTTAAAATGTGTTTAATTATTATTAGTTATTACTTGTTTTTTTATTTTTAAAAATAATCTTGACGTTAATGTAGATGAGCCTGCTAACAATGTAGAAGAACCTGTGGTTAATGAAGGCGTACATAACATAAATGCAGACAACTTATTTGGTAAGTGTGTTAAGGCTTTGGGTCAAAATAATATAGAACCTTTGTTCATGAATGATGGTAAATCCATTTTAACTTTTTTAATTAGATGAGCCCCCTAACAATGTAGAAGAACATGTGGTTAATGAAGATGTGCATAACATAAATGCAAGCCACTCATTTGGTAAATGTTGACTGCAATAAAGATATTTTAATTGATTTGATCTATTTTATTTTTATTTTTTGCTTATTTTTTTTTTTAATAGATATTGGTTCTGACAATAGTGATATTATGGTATTTGTAAGACGTAGAAGAAGGATTTTTAGTATCACTGATGATGAATCCGAAAATGAATCAAATCGTTGTAATAACTAGTTAATTTTTTAAAAGATAACAAGAGTACTTAACAATTTATCCTAATGTAGTGATCCCTCACTAACGCTTATATTTTGAGTTTGACGACGTTGATGATTGAGTAGGAGAAAAGGTTGCAGAGTTACAAGTTACAACGTTATAATTTAAGTAATTTATTTTAAAGTTAATAATAATATAATGGTATTACATTTGAATATAGAAATTTGAGGACAGAGCGATAAGCGTCTGCCCGAGAGATTAGTGGTTAATACTAAGTACTTACAAGTATGTACGTCGTACTAGCACTGAGCTAATTCTAATTTAGATACAGACGGAGACTCGTATATATACAAAGTCTCCCTAGGTTATTAGGTACACGGTAGAGACTCGGAGGTGGATCAAAGGAATACCGGCGGTATGAAAGGTACCGGCGTAAATGTTAAAAGTTGTTGAATAAACCTTGAGTTGTGAACTGGTTTATTTGGCAATATGTATTATTAGAAATCGTTATGCGATTTTTAAATATGTAATAAATCCTCAGGGCGTGGTATAGTCGTTGATCAATATATCATATAGTGCAAAGTCCTTATGATGTATAATTATAGGAAAGCGACTCTGTCGGTTTACTACACTAAGACTAAAACTCTTAATAAAATAAAAATGTTTAAACTCTGTAATGAAGGAATGAAGAAGAATGTGTTTTAAAATGATTTGTCCATTGATTATTTTTAAATTATTTTAGATGATGTTGAAAACCTAGAAGTTCCACAACATGAACCGCTTATTAATATTTTTGGTTGGACCGTTTTTTATTTACAATTTTCTATTGATATTAATTGATTTTTATGCAATTTATTTAGATGAATTCCGTACGGAGTACAATAGGGAGCTTGATCTACAAGGAGTAGAACCAGTGGTTGACGAAAATAATGTTGACGTTGACGTTGACATGTTGTTAGACAATGACCCAGGTAATATAAACTAACTACCTAATGGCTAATAGAATATTATTATATATTTTTATAATTTTATCACTATGCATAGTAAGTTTATATTTAATAATGATTTAATATTTATTAAGTATTTTCAATTTATTTTAGATGATAATGAAAACCTACTAGTAGACCCGCAACTTGTCGATGAGAATAATATGCATAGTAAGTTTACTGTTGAAAAATATGTTTTTATTTGTACACTACATTCATTAAATATTTTTATTATTATTTATACATTCCTTAACTAAATATTTTATTGGATAAACCAATGTTATAAGCATAAGTCTATATAGTTGTATATCTATTTAGTTGTATATTAGACTTATTCAGAATAGAATCCAAATTGAGTTAAGGAATTGATTCTACTTTAATATAATATTTATATTATATCAATTAAATATTATTAATTGGCAATAAAAATAATACAAATGTTGTATATAGAAATTAATATTTCATTAAAAAATACTTTGAACCCATTTATTTTAAGTAGGTATTATTCTAATCACTATTAATATTTGTTGTATATCTAACCTAATCTTAAAATATTTTTAAATTTACTGAAGAAAATGCCACTGTTTATGTATAGTTTTTGTTTTGTTTTTCAGTTAATGAGGAAGATTTTATCATTCCTGAAGATAGAGATTCCACAATGAATTTTCTTTGTCTGTTCCTAAAATTAAAATTAATTTTTATCGTATTTATTTTATTTATTATTATTTTTTATTATTTTTTAAATTGGTTGTATCGTGGTTTCCATTTATTATTTCTTTCTCCGGTTTCAAAAATGAATGTTCTGTTTCTATCCTTAAAATTAATATAATTATTCTAACTTAATATTGCTATATATTTATTGTATTTATTATTACTATATATATATTTTTTTTAATTGACCTGCGCGTCATTATAATATTTTTTAATTAAATGATCTCTAGCTATCTTATGCGATATTTGCATTTTTTTTTTTTAGATCGAATATATAATCGTCGTAATTGTAACGTGGTTCAGGTTTGGCCTTCGAGTTAATCGGTACCTCCAATGTACATCTGTAAACTAATGCGTATGGTTGAAAATTATTAGAAGTATGTATTGTCGACTTATATACAAAGAATGTAAAGGGTAATAAATGATCCCAATTATTTAAATTCTTATCTACATAATGCCGTAAGTACTTGGCTAAAGTCCTATGAGCGCGTTCTACGGGGTTACCCTGCGGTCTGAATGAACTTGTGTTAACCCAGGCCCGTAGCCAGACCAAATTTTCAGGAGGGGCAAAGCAAATTTTTGGGGGGGCATTATATATAAATGTATTAAATATTAATGCAATTTTCAATTTATTTACATTGATATCCCATTAAATTAACACAGCTATAATTTTCTATCTAATAGTAATAATAATAATAATAATAATAATAATAACAATAATCCATTTATAATAGAATATTTTGGGAATTTACAATGAAACATTTGTTTTAAAGTTACAAAACGAATAATACTAAATAATAAAAATAAAACTTATATTAAAGTTTACATAGATAATTATAATATTCATCATATTCACTGATGTTACGTGGTTAAATTTTGAACATTTTAATATTTATTAATACAGCTTCAATTTTCTATTATTCTGCTTGTTGAAGTTCGTTAATAATAGGTCCATGTTTAAGTTTTCTGTCCGTTTGGACTCAAATGCCAATAAAGTTAAGTTGGAAAGCCGGTTATGTGACATTGATTGCCTTTGAGGATTGTCAACTCTGTTTAAGCAGGAAACTGCAATTCACTGCAATTCACAAACTGCTGAGCTACATCCAAATACTTCAACTGCTGCTATCATTTCATATGTAGCTTTAAATGCTTTACGTTGTTGATAAAGCTCTAAAAAAATGTTCTTATTAGATATATTATTTTCTTTTAAATAATTTTTTACACAAATTATTTCTTCTTTTGAAGGAATATTAATTTTAAGATCATTAAATATTTTAAAATCATCGTAATTCAATTCGTATATGTTAGAAACAGCTTTAATAAGTTCATCATTTTTTTCAAAACGAGTTTCCATCTCAGATTTAATTATATCAATAACTTCATAAAATGTAGATAATAATGAAATATTAATATCGTCGTTGACATAATTTGTATAAGTACCAGATGATTCACTTAAAATATATTCATTCAATTTTATAGTAGTCTTTCTCTTGCGTTTTGGAGATTCAGTTTCGGTTTCAGGTAATAAATTTTCACAGTCTTTTAAAATTGCATTGAACACTTCTTCATTTCTTGATTGTTTTAAACTATTAATCACGCTATGAATAATTGGAATTACTAAGGTTAAACCAGTTTCCTTAATACGGCTAAAAAAACTTTTTTGATCTATTCTATTACCGATGAAAGTGTTATTAGCAATAAAATACATACCTACCTAAAAGTCTTTCTAATATTTTTTAGGGGGGGCAATGACTGGGTTTAGGAGGGCAATGCCCCCCCTTGCCCCCCCGTGGTTACGGGCCTGTGTTAACCTTTTCTATTTTTAATATTTTACAAACATTTGCAAACGTTTTCGAGAGGAAATTAGTTCCTTGATCCGTGAGTATTCTTTCTGGTATACCGTGTACACATACGAAGTGTGTAACAAAAGCTTCCTCAACAGTATTTGCCTTCTGGTCAGGAAGTGGAATTCCTAAAGTGTAACTTGTCAAATTGTCCTCCATCGTTAAAATGTATACATTATTGGACAGTGTAATCGGCAAGGGCCCTACTATATCCATAAATATTTTTTCGAATGGTTTATACGAAGTGGATGTAATAGCCATTGGTTGTTTTATGTGCCGATTTGATACCTTATTAACCTGACATGACGCACAATTCTTTATAAATTTTCTAACGTCTTCTTTCATACCCTTCCATAAGAATTGTTTTTTAATGCGCTTAATGGTTTTATTCACACCTAAATGTTCGCCTAGTTTTGAATCGTGAAATTGTGATAAAATGACTGTTTTTTCTTCTTCACTATATTCTACATTTGCACATATAATTTTTTCTATGTCTGTTTTTCAAAATATGTATTGTAACATTGACCTTATTTTTTCCCATTCTAAATCATCGTGATCGTGATCACCTATCTTGCCCATGGCTAATTTATTCAGATTGTTTTCCTTACAAAATAGTTTTAAATTTATTAGTGATACATATATACTTTCGTAAGTGGCCTTCTGTCGGTCTTTATTTTTCGTTACTAAGAATATTATAAACCTGTTTTCCTGTTTGAAATAGGGTGTGTCTCCTATTACTTTACTAGTCGGCAATATTGTACCGTTTCCAAATTGTTTTATTAACTGATAATTCGTTCCTGTTCTAAAATTATATTGCTTGGCAATTTCTGATACTATATTATATTTCTTTGATGAATCTATTAGTGTACCTATAGTTTCTTTTACATTAATATTCGTGATAATTTGTGTTCCTAACTTTTCGATATATTGTTCGTATGATTTGTTTTTTATTTCCTGAATTGAATATATGCATGTGAGAGTATTTACATTTGAATTTAGAACTCCGGGTTTGTGACGTATTTGTAATTGATTTGTGTTAGCGGCGAATGAATTAAATGTTATATGATTATTTTCTAAGGTTGAGAATATGTGAAATACTCGTGAGTCGGTTGTTCAGCGATAATCTGGTTTATCGTACGAGTACCGCGCCTCTCGTTCGACACGTTTTCGTTTTCCGAATTATTAACGTTCCTACTCTCATCGTTTCTCTTTTTATAACACGAGTCGATATTATGACCAGTTCGATTACAGTATGAACACGTAACTACCTGTATATTATAATTCGTAGGTGGTTGCGTAAAATTATTCCTATCAGGTGGACGGTTGTTATTGCCATTGCTCGCATAACCAGGTCTCGTATTATTCCTACATTGAGATGCATAATGATTACCATTACAATTATAGCATTTTATTGCTGGCCTATTGATTGGTTGAGAAAAATTGTTTGCTCGCGGATAATTATTTGTCCTTACAGGGTTATTTGGTCTAATGTTTTCGTTGTTCCTATTTTCGTAATTCGATCTGCGCTGGTTATAATTTTGTGAATGAATATTCGAATAATGGTTCCTATTTTCCTGTTCTAATCTTAGTTCCACCTGTTCCGACATAGCAAGTTGTTTCGCGATCTCCAGGGTTTTGGGATTACTAGATTTTACTATTGTTCTAATCGGTTCTACTAATCCTTTGATAAATATCGCTAGAGTTTGTTCCCTTAATATATCATATATAATTTTTGCTTCTGCAGCTTCTTTGCCTAATGTACTTACGGTACATAACTGATAATATAGTTTCTCTACTCTATGACAATAATCATTTGCATCCTCATTGTGATACATTCTAATCGAATTTAATTGAAGTTGTAACGACGATGCCGTGATTGTTACCTCAAATGCATCTGTTAAATAATTTTTTATAAACTGCCATTTCGATACATTTTTGTATTTAATCATTTCTAATGCTCTACCTGTTAAACGTGTATTAATATATTTTACTAGCGTTGGTGCACTGTTTGTGTCGACTAAACTTACTGCCATATCGCATGCATTTATGAATTGATAGATATCGTCTATTCCTGTGCATAGTGGAATTAATTTAAAAGCGTCTTCTAATTTTATGGTTACTGCCATTTTTTTAGTGCGTGTTATAGGTAAAAATACTAATGACTGATGTTCAAAACTATCTGTAACTTGGCTACGTGTGATTACTCCTGGACTTGGGTTTCTACTTGCGCCATCTCCTAACTGGGTATCTACTATAATATTCAACTGGGTTTTTTGTTGGGCTTCAAACTGGGCTTGGGCTTCTCTCTGTTCTAATAACTGGGCTTCTAACTGGGCTTCTTCTACTACACTAGTGTCATACAATGAATTAATTACTTTCAAGGGTACTTTCAAGATGTACCTTCTTTGTCCATAAATTACTTGGCTACCTATTTAATACGTTAATACTCATAATAATAATAATCAACAATGCCCTATAAATACAATAATAACTTCAATAATATGCCCTTTAATAAATTCAATAAACTTCAATAATACTTCAATAATAAAAATGCCCTCAATAAATCAATAAACTTCAATAATAATCAATAATAACTTCAATAAAACATGCGCTCAATAATAAACTTCAAAAATCAATAAATATGCCCTCAATAAATTCAATAAAACTTCAATAATAATCAATAAAATTTAAAAACGTTTTACACCATTATACTTATAGTCAACTACTTAGAATTATCTAATATGTCCTAATTATGTTGCATACGTCTATGTAATAAATTTAAATAATTATTCACTCACAATAATGCTGTGTTTCTGGTTGCTGATGATGCTGATGGATTTGTTGTTACCGCGAAGTGACTTATTTGTTTTTTTTTTTTTTTTTGATGGTTCTTCTTGGAGTTGTCTTCTCGGAAGAGTGTACAGTTCTTCTTTGTTGACGGTAGCCTTTTGACGGGTTGCCTCCTTTGAAAGAAATCCTACTTCGACTGTGCCAGTGTTACATGCGGCCCTTTAGGGATCCAAAAGCTTGTTGCACTTTTACAATAAAATGTAGTCAATTTAAATATAAATCAATTGTAATTTATTAAAACCAATAATAATTAATATAGTCGTGGTGAATTGCAGCGTCGTGAGTTGACTCGTTGTAGTAGTCGATAATCTCTGTGTAAGTTGTGTGTAATGGCTGGTGGCTAAGCGGCCCGCTCGGTCTTGGCGGCCCTGGTACATCTAACTCAGGCTGTCTCGCTGTCCCCTATATATATGGTGGCGGCTTCCTTTGAAGTGAGCGGCGCGTGTACAGTCGTCCTTGATATGGACCTCACGACTAAAAGTGGTATTCTAATCGTAAACACTTTTGGGTGTGGTCGCATTCCTGGTTGTTTTTATGAGCAAATACATGATATTACGTAATCCCATTACAATAATATTATACGCGAGTATAAAATTCTGTATTAAAAAAAAAAAAAAAGGTGGGTAAGTGGATGTCGCTCTGCTGTACTGTAGGTTACAAGTGGGTCACTGTATAATGGATGGTATTAAACTTGAATTCAATGATATAATATCATTGTATAAGAAAAACGATTCTGAGCGGAGACGGTATGTCAGTCTAGGTTTAAGACATATTACTCGTATATACTTATCTATGGTATTAAATTACATGAAATTTTCTCTGCCACTCACCGAAAATAACTACCCCATCGTCTGGGACGCGTTAATCGAACGTTATAATAATAAAAGGGAATTAATCAACGCGCACTTGGATGCGATTTTCCAATTTCACGTATTGACTGACGAATCCCTTCCAGATTTGCAGCGCTTTCTGAGCACATTCAACGAAAACATTGCAGCCATAGATGCTCTTAACATCGAGAATGTATCGGCATATTTGTTATTTTATATCGCGTCCCGAGTCCTCGATTCGACTACCATTCGATTATTTGAGTTCGAGCATCATGGTACCGAGTTACCCACATTTGAAATGTTGTCAGATTTTGTAAAGATTCGGTGTCAAGTGCTAAAGAATTCTACTTTAAACTCAACAAATCATAGTAAATCCCGTGATACGTTTAAAAAACAGGTTAAACACAAATCTTCATTCACAGTTTCCACCAATTATGCAGGTCCGTGTATACTATGTAAAGACTCTCATGCAATTTACCAATGTCCCAAGTTTGTACAAAAAAATGTTAAACAGCGTTTTAATTTTGCCAGGGATAAACATTTGTGTATGAACTGTTTAAGTAATTCACATAAAACGTCAGAATGTAGCTCAATACATAAATGTAAATATTGTGCTTCCAAACATCATTCGTTGTTGCATTTGGGCACCTCTAAGTCACACAGCTCATCCTCTACGATGTCACCGGCTCCGGCTACTTCTGAAATAACATCGCCGACTACTAGTTCACCAAATGACACACCATTTTCCGGCACAACAACCACCCTAACTAACGTTGTACTCGGCACTGCTGTTGTTCGAATACAAAATAATCACGGTGAATGGATAACTGTTAGAGTGTTGATTGATCCCGGGTCACAGGTATCAGTTATTACAAATGCTTGTGCATCGCGTCTAGGATTAAAACGTCGACAGTGTAAGACAGTCGTAACCGGTTTATCTCAAACGCCGGTGTCTACTACCAAAGGCTCGACGGATTGTATATTGATTCCCCACAACTCCATGAGCCCACAAATACCATGCGAGCCCGTGATTTTGTCCCGAATTACTGGGCTTATGCCGAATACGACTTTGCCGGCTAGAATTCGGGCAACATATGCACGTTATGGTCTTGCCGATCCGCAGTTTGACATTCCGCGTCAAATCGACTTCTTATTAGGCGCAGACATTTATCCATACATCTTGGGACAGTGTTCCCAAGTTGTACATACCCCGGGTTTGCCATCGGTTTATGAAACAATGTTAGGATGGATAGTATTGGGACAATCGCACATCAAATTGGATTCATCTCCGTCGTCATTAGTGCTTTCACCACAACCATCAATCAACGATTTAATACGTCAATTTTGGGAAGTAGAAGAACCTACAGTAGCGAACAAACTGTTTACTAGTGACAAGAAACCAAGACCATTTCTTACGCACGTCTCGGGATGAAAAGGGCCGTTTTTCCATAACTTTGCCGTTTAAAGAACCGATATCCACGCTAGGTGATTCTCGAGTAATGGCCGTTTCACGATTTCTCAATCTTGAACGAAAACTTATGAAAGACCCTGTATTATACGACCAATACCAAAAATGTATGCTTGAATATGAAAAATTAGGTCACATGACAGTGGCTACCGGTCCCGGAAAATATCATATCCCACATCACGCGGTGATTAAACACGAAAACAACAAAATTAAACTCCGCGTGGTATTTGACGCATCGGCTAAGTCATCATCAGGGATATCACTAAATGACATACTACATGTAGGTCCAAAATTACAAACGGATATATCGGATTTGTTACATCGGTGCTGGTTACATAAATTTATGTTTACAGCTGATATCTGTAAAATGTATAGGCAAATAACGGTAGTTCCGGAAGATCGTCAATTCCAACACATTATATGGCGCACTCACATTGAACGGCCATTACTTGAATATGAGTTAAATACGATCACCTACGGTATTACATCATCACCATTTCAAGCTATTAGAGTTTTGCATCAGTTAGAACGTGACGAAGGCAGTAAATACCCGTCCGTAGCTAATACATTGTCAGCCCAAACCTATGTTGATGATATAATATCGGGTGACAATACCGTTGAAGCGGTGATTAAACATCAACACGACGTAACGCAATTATTACTTGGTGCTGGTTTTGAATTAAAGAAGTGGTCCTCCAATTGCAATGAGTTACTTCAGAGCATACCACCCGAAGATCGCGCCACGAATATAACATTCGAGCCGAAAGACAGCTCCACCAAAAAAATACTAGGTCTCCAATGGGACCCAAGTAGTGATACATTTAGTTATCATACAAATACGTTGTCATTAACCAATACATATACGAAACGTTTAATATTGTCCACCATCGCGAAATTGTATGACCCCTTGGGAGCACTCGGACCAATTATATTTTGGGCTAAGTGTTTTATGCAATTAATATGGTAGGCCAACGTTCAATGGGATGATCGCATACCTCAGTCTCTCGCGGATACATGGAAACGATTTTCGGCGGAAATACCGTTAGTGTCACAAATTAAATTGAAACGCTACATTGAGTGTTCAAAAAATGGTATCTCACAATTATTAGGGTTTTCCGATGCATCGGAGAAAGGATATGCCGCTATTGTATATCTTCGACACGTGCACGACAATGGTCACATATCAATATATTTTATTACGGCGAAATCCAAGGTAGCCCCGCTAAAAATAACCAACCATAAAACTGAATTGACGATACCCCGCTTGGAGTTATGTGGCGCGTTGTTGTTATCTCAAACAATCAATCGGTTAATGACGACATTTAACAACACCGTTACTATTTCCGCAGTGCATGCATGGACGGATTCACGCATCGTTTTATCATGGCTCACCTCAGAACAAACGGAGTTCAAGATATTCGTAACCAATCGACTGGCGAAAATCGCGGAGCTAACTCCTAGTTGTAATTGGCATTATATTTCGTCCGAACTGAATCCATCAGATTGTGTTTCTCACGGTTTGTTTCCATCAGAAGCGATAACGAACAAATTATATTGGAACGGTCCGCCATTCCTGACATTGCCAGAATGCGAGTGGCCGGTTATATTTTTCGAACCAATTCTATCATCCCTACTCCCGGAGGTTAAAGAAATGGGTCCGAAAACTCTAACTAATTTAGATGCTACGTCACATGTCAACGACAAAGAATGGGTTGCTCGTTTTTCTTCGGTGACCCGCTTACAGAGGGTCATGGCGTATGTTTATCGGTTTATTCATCGTACTCGCAAAATTGGTATTATGAACGGACCGTTAACTCTCGTCGAATTACAGAACGCGCTAACACCCATTATTAAAATTACACAACAACAATATTTTAGTGAACTTATTACGACGCTCCAGAAGCCCGATACCCACATTTTCCCACGATCGTTGGCACAGCTTGCAGCGTTTTTGGATGATGAAATGGTTATACGAGTGGGTGGTGGGTTGCGAAATTCACAATTACGTGAAGAGAGCATGCATCCAATTTTGTTACCAAAGATCAGCGAATTAACTACACTGATAATAAGACATTTTCATATTAACCATTTTCACGCTGGAACACAATTGGTATCGTCACTAATAGGGCGACGATATTGGATATTATCGAGTAGGCTATCGATACGAAGCGTGATATACAAATGCGTGGTATGCGCACGACACAAAGCTAATACGCCGCATCCGTTTATGGCCGATTTACCAGCAAGCCGTGTCACGCCCGCTCGGCCATTCTTACACGTCGGAATTGATTTCGCTGGGCCGTTTTTGATAAAAGAAAGTCGTCGTAGAAACTCCCGATCGTCAAAAGTTTATTTGGCGGTGTTTGTTTGCATGGCCATTAAATCGGTTCATCTGGAGGTAGTTTCGGATTTATCTACGGATGTCTTTGTAGCGTCGCTTCATCGTTTTGTCGCTAGGCGAGGGATACCATCTGATATATATACTGACTGTGGTTCAAACTTTAAAGGTGCAGACCAGCAACTACGCCGATTATTCGATACATCCACACAAAAGGGCCAGTTGAGTAAAGCTATACTCTGTAAATGGCATTTTAATCCACCGGCTGCCCCTCACTTCGGAGGCTTATGGGAAGCAGCCGTCAAATCGGCAAAATACCATTTGAAACGTGTCGTTGGGGAGCAAATACTAACGTTCGAAGAAATGTCAACACTAACGAGCCGTATTGAAGCAATCCTTAACTCTCGCCCATTAACGCCCTTTTCGAGTGATCCACACGATTATCGTCCATTAACGCCAGGAGACTTTCTAATTGGAGCCCCGTTAACTGCCATACCAGAACCAAACATACTTTCTATTCCAAAAAATCGACTTACTAGGTGGGAGTTACTTCGTCAATTACACCAATCATTTTGGAAACGATGGTCAGCAGAATATCTGACTCTGTTACAAGGCAGAACGAAATGGACAAAACATCACCCGAACATACAACCTGATGATTTGGTACTACTCATCTCACCCAATCAACCTTCAACGCAGTGGGCTGTTGGTAGGATCGAGCCTACGCACATGGGAACTGATGGTGTGGTGAGGGTAGCCACCGTGCGCACCGCCAACGGGACTTTCGTACGACCTATTGTCAAACTAGTATTGTTACCTATTGATAAATCCCCATAAATTATTGTCCGCTCCTAATCTTTTCCTATATACATGTTGTGAAGAGTGATCGTAAAATAAAAAAAAAAAATGTTTAAACTTGTGATTTCTGTATATTATATTTGTATTTTGTAAATTATTAGCCCATGAGGCGGGACCGTGAAGAGGACCAGTAGACCATCAAGTATTATTGAAAGCTGGATTACCCTTTCAATGGCGGGAGTGATGTTCCGTACAGTTTGGCGATGCTATAATCGTCAACCGGTTCGCCGATAGCATCGGCTCGCGTATCGACCATACATGCGAGTCTGCCTTGACCCACCGGCGTACGCAGTTCGTCTCCGTGTTTAAAAACCGTATGTGTCCATGACCATTGACCATATTATTTACCCGCGCGCTTCCATAGTCCATACGCACATTGGTGAAATAATATTGCGCCTCCATACGCATATAACTTCGTACGACGTTCCTATATTACCGACCCGCGCTTACATACGCATATGGGTGATTAATATTCGTGCCTTCATACACATATACGCCGTGCTGCCTTTTGGTGTCGTAACCAAATATCTGGACACACCAGGGAGCACAATCATCAGCGGTCCAGTCATCATCACTTCATCTTCATCCTCACCAGGTCGCGTCCATCTGTGGTTGTGTGAGTCTGCTATACGCCATATAATTGTATTGTCTTTTGAGACTAATTATTAGTACCTATTATTATTATTTATTATTGTCGTTTGAGACTTTTTCCTATTATTATTACACTACTAACAAAACTAAACCATATTTGTTTGTACCATATATTATTTATAATTGTAGTACTTGCAAAATATCATTTCTCATTTTATACAATATTTATCGTTGTTATTATTGTATTCACCTCTCTCAATACCTCCTAATGACGCTGTAAGGCTCACCATCACCGGTAATTTATTATTTCACGCGTGGCCGACAATCTCTTAATATCATCTCGAGACTTGGTACGCATCAGTTACAATATCAGTTGAAAAATATTAAAAATACATACGCACAATTTTTTTTTATAAGCATTTAAACATCGAATTTTGATAGAATTTTTCAAAATCTCGAAAATTATTCATCATCGTAATTAATAAATTATAAAATGTTCAGTTTTTATAGTAAAGGATTGAAAATTTAAAACAAGATTCCACGTAAGTAGTTAATTCTCTTACCGAAAAATCTAAAAAATATACCATCACAATTTATTTTTATAGTCATTTTATGTTCAAATTTGGACGAAATTACATATTAAAAAACCTAGTTATTTTGTTGTGATTATATAATATTATTCATGGGTACCAACTTGAAACTTCTAAAGTGTACTATTATATATCTATGAGAGTATCAGGGTTTGTTATTAATGTTGATGTATAATGTGTTATAAGTACCTAATGGATATTGAGCTAATGTGATATGATTAATTTGGAATTTATTATAGGTCAATTTTTTTTTTTAATACCATAGATACGTATATAATTTGTCTTAAACCTAGACTGACATACCGTCTTCGCTCAGAATCGTTTTTCTTATACAATGATATTGTATCATTGAATTCAAATTTAATAGCATCCATTATACAGTGACCCACTTGTAACCTACTGTACAGCAGAGCGACATCCACTTACCCACTTTTTTTTTAATTTTTTTAATTTTTTTTTGTGTCTACGTACTCGATAAGTAGTCGAAATAATGCTTTGATTTTCGACTTCAGTAACTTGTTCGATTGGAAAGTGAATATCGTTGGTGCATTGGGGAGGTCAAAATTTAAAATTAACAATAGTTTTCACAAGCGCCGGGAAAAACAACATAAAAATTAAGGAAAAACGGGAATTTTTACGCAAAATCGGTTTTTGACAAAATCGAATTTGGTTTTTGGTGTAACTTTAAAACAAATGACCGTAGATACATGCAATTTTCCCTGGTTGTTTATATTTGCATTTTCTATTAACGATAACATTTTCAAAATATTTTGATTTATTTTGAACTGTTTAGGGACATTTTCATTTTTCATTTTTTTTTAGTTTTTTTTCTAGAAATATGCATCAAATTTTATTTGTTGGTTAAAAAAACTTGAAAATTTAATAGAAGGCTCCTAGTATATTGTTTCAAAGGCAGATGAAAAATATTAAAAATCGTTAGTCACAGTTTTCTTTTATAAGCATTTAAAGTTCAAAAATTGACATAATATGGAAAAATCACGAAAATTAGCAAATTATTTTGAGTTAAGAATTCGCAAAAATGTTTCTTTTTAAATCTAAGATTTGAAAATGTAATACAAGATTACTCATAAGTTTGTCTACCTTTATCAATAAAAAAAAATATCTACCAGACAGTCAAATTAAATTTTTATGAGCGTTTGAAATTCAAATTTTTACAGCATTGGATATTCACTCGATTTCTCATGTAGCGATTTCCTTATTTTGTTGTTTTTCATAAACGAATAACTATAGATACATGAAAATTTCACTGAATGTTTATACTAGCATTTCCTATACACCATACAATTTTGAAAATATTTCGATTCTTTTTGAGCTGTTTACGGATATTTTCATTTTTCAATTTTTTAGTTTTTTTTTTCTATGAATATCAATAAAGTTTTATCTGTTGGGCCAAAAAGTGTAAAAATTTAATACAAGTCTCCTGATATATTGTTACAATAGCAATTGAAAAATATTAAAAATACATAGGCACAATTTTTTTTATAAGCATGTAAACATCGAATTTTGACAGAATTTTTCAAAATCTCGAAAATTGTTAATCATCGTAATTAATAAATTATAAAATGTTCTGTTTTTATAGCTAAGGATTGCAAATTTAAAACAAAGGATCTTATAAATAGTTTATACTGTAACCAAAAAATCTAAAAAATATATCAACACAGTTATTTTTTACAGACATTTTAAATTCAAATTTAGACGAAATTACATATTAAAAAACCTAGAATAACTATTTTACTTATTTGTTGTGAATGTATAATATTATTCGTGGGTACTTGAAACTTCTAAAGTGTACTATTACATATATCTATGATAGTATCACGGTTTTTGTTGATGTATAACGCGTTATAAGTACCTAATGGATATTGTGATATGATTAATTTGGAATTTATACCTTATTATAGATAATATGTATATAATATGTCTTATACCTAGACTGACATACTGTCTCCTCTCAGAATCTTTTTTCTTATACAATGATATTGTATCATTGAATTCAAATTTAATATCATCCATTATACAGTGACCCACTTGTAACCTACTGTACAGCAGAGCAGTTGCGTCCGCAGGATTTTTCAATGGGGGGGGGGGATTGAAAATTACTTACAAATTTATTTTTATTTTGTCCAGTCTAATAATTTCATACGTTTATTTGAGGTATTTTAAAATGTTTGTGACTTTTCAACTTTTCTGGTAGAAAATAAGCTCTTATCATAATTCATAAGCTTCGATGCCCAGTGTATGTTTTTGGAAGCAAATTGGATCTAGTTGGTACTTTTAGGAGGTCAAAATTGAATCTGCTCAGTGCTTTTAAAAGTACCTAATTGGAGAAAAAAAATGAAAACTTATTTAAATTGTTTGGTAACAGTAGCTTCTTGACGTTTTATGGGGGGGATATGGGGGATAGATCCCCTCCCTTACCCATTTTTTTCCATGTATAAAGTACAAACTGCTGCAGTACTGTTGTTATTTATAATTTTGTTATCCTGTGGGCATGTGAGTGACATTACACAACATTTATTATTATTATATACCTTACATGGAGTACCTAACTAACAAAAAGTTGCAACAGCACTAAACAAATTTTGATATCCCCCTCCTCAAGAAAATCCTATATACGCCCCTGCTTGGTTATACCGTCCTCACTTGGATTGTATTTGATTGATTAAAATTTTTTTTTTTATAAATGTCAATAAAAAATTATTTATCCGGTCGAAAAGCTTAAAAATGTAATGCGTAAGTTTTTTTATTATAGCTAAAATATTAACGATACATATGCATTTAAAGTTCAAAACAATTTAACCACAGTTAATTTGTAGTTCAAAACTTATAAAATATAAAATATGTACAGCTAAGGCTAGACAATTTAGTACAAGGTCTTTCGTACAAGTAGTTCATTCTTTTACCGAAAAATTACAGATAATTTATGAAAATTGGTATGCAAATACAATGTTTTTTCAAAAATGAATTCATTCTGGTAAGTCATATATGAAATTTACGTCTTGCTTACTATAGTTGACAGTTTAAATTTGATTAATATTTTTTTTTAAAAGTAATAATAATACGGGCAATGGGGGGGGGCTTCAGCCCGTTAGCCCCCCCCCCCCCCTGCGGACGCCACTGCAGCAGAGCGACACCCACTTGCCCACCTTTTTTCTTATATTATTATTAATTATTCCGATATCGTAATAATTAGTTTTTTTATCATACCCAAATAGTTCGATAATTCAAGTAATAGGGCTTATTGAATCGGTTTACAGCAAAACTACCTATTATAAAAATTGTAGAGAAGAATTTTTTTAACAATCGTAAGAAGCCCGTTTTTCGATATTTTTATTAATTAGTTGAATAATTAATGGATAAAAAGTTAAAACCGTGTTAGTTTACCATGTGATATTGGACGATTAGAATACGATATCAAAAAACGGATTTCTTACGATTGTTAAAAAAATTGTCCTCTACAATTTTTATAATAGGTAGTTTTGTTATGAGCCGCTTCAATACGCCGTATTACTTGAAGAACAAAAGTATAGTTTTTATTAGTATAAAATTCGGATACGAATAGAAAATATAAAACCGAACCAAATTAAATAATATTTGTCACAAATATAATAATCGTTTTCTTCTCTGGGTATTTATAAATTATGTACAGGCGCACGGCTGCGATAGAAAACCTGTTTTGACCATGGTGCGGCACTGCCGTTAAACGCGCGGGGTGGTGGTATGAACACCTAGTATCGAGCGCTGCCGCTGGCTGTAACGGGCGCAGCACATGACGAGCGTAATTAAACGTTTTTTTTACCGAAAACATGGTTTCGTACTTCCAGGAATACGGCTTATTGAAACATTTTACAGTATAAATTCCTATTACAAAAATTGTAGAGGAGAATTTTTTCTAGAAACGTAAGAAGCCCAATTTTTGATATCTTGTTCCAATCGTCCAATATCGCATGGTAAATAAACACGTTTTTTTTTAACTTTTTATCAATTAATTATTTAACTAATTAATAAAAATATCGAAAATCGACGTTTCTAGAAAAAATTCTCCTCTACAATTTTTTTAATAGGTATTTATACCGTAAAACGCTTCAATAAGCCTTATTCCTGGAAGTACGAAACCATGTTTTTATGCCATATTTTGTCTACTGTGACATCCTCTTAAAAATTGAATAAATCTTAAAATTTAACATTTAATGAACAGGATAAAATAATATTTATTTTTGGTTTAAAACTCAACCTTTATTCAACCTTTATTATTAATATTTATCTTTATTTTCTATTAATTGAATAAAATATATTTTATTTCAAATGGTAATTGGAAATTAAATGTATCTTATAATGTAACATTAAATAACTTAACTATATTAATATTTATTTTTTGTTAATACTCATAATTTATTCAACCTTTATTATTAATATTTATCTTTATTTTTTATTTATTGAATAAAATATAAATTATTATTTTCAGAGAAAATCGAAAATTAAATGCAAATTAAAATGTAACATGAAACAAATACAGGGTTGGGTTTAGGGGCCGGGCACGGGGCCTGAGCCCCTTTAAAAGATTCAATTACTAAGAGGCCCCCACAAAATAATATAAATTAGTATACCTTTTGGCCTTTTGCAGTAAGTTTTGCCGCTTCTTCATAAGTCAACTAAATATATATTCTTCAGTAATAAAGGCTATTAAGTCTTAAAACTAGTAAGTCAACTATAAAAATAATTTTATGTCAAACTTATATTTAACCCCCACCACCTTAAATTCAGTCCTGAATAAATATACTAAAAAAATATGTATTTAATACTTCAAAAAAGTATATTATTTTATTTTAATATTCATTAATAATGAAATCATAGGTGTATAATATGCTTATAGTAGTTACAATAATATATTATATAATATAAGTAGTATATATATACCGTTCCTGGCGCAGCACCTTTAATAATAATATATCAGTAAAAGATCACAATGAAAACAATGTGCAAAAAGATCAGAAAATTGAAAATGAAATAATAATAAAAATATTTTTCTCAAAACTTAATTAATAAAAATAAAAATCGAAATGCAATAATAATAAAAACATTTTTCGCAAAACTTATTAAATACAAAAACCCCCAAAATATTTTTCATAATACTTATGATATTAATAATTAAAATCGAAATGAAATATAGTGTATTAAAAATATTTTAAAAGAAATTGAATACCTGAGTTAAAGGAATTGAAATTTATAATAAAAGAATGGAAACTATAAATAATTTTAATAAGGTACAAGAAAAAGAAATGCAAAACGAAATAGAAAAATCAATATTAAATAATGAAATCTTTGTTAAGTTCTGTAAATATGAATACTTTAATACTAATAATAAAAAAATATTAAAATCATGAAATATAATCTAAATAAAATTCCAATTATGAAAATAATATGAAAGTAAATCTACCAAGCGTAGAAGATATTTGAATGATATGGAAACTATTGATTTTATTGTTGAAAATCAAGAACAATTAAACTTTTTACCACAACCCAGTACAAGTACCTCTCTAGATAATGATAATAATTTGGTTGTAGAAAACCATAATATTCCATCTCGCAGTGTAATTATTAATGATGAGAACTTTTCTAATAGTCTTAGTACTGATACTTTTACCTTTTCTTTTTTAAATATTGATGACAATAATGTAGACATATCTGATAATTATGATCTACAAGATGAATCATGCAGCTCTGATTCAGATGATGAATGTTTAACAAATGCTAGTAATATTTTATATGATAATCAATGTTTTATTCTGAAACTTATTGCTAATTGGACAATTGAACATAATATTACATTATCTGCACTATCTGCTTTATTAAAGCTTTTAAAAAATCATAAATGTTTTAGTAATTTTCCAGTCGATGCTAGAACTGTGTTAAAAACACCTATTAAACCTAATGAAATTCAAACTATTCAATCGCGATATTATTACCATTTTGGCATTGCAAATGGTTTAAAATCTCATTGTAATTTTTCAATTGTTAATGAAAATATAATTAAATTATTTATTGGCATTGATGGTTTGCCGTTGACAAAAAGTTCTTCTAGAGCCTTTTAGCCAATTCTTGCATATGTTCAGTACAGTTCTTTTAAATCTAATGTCTTTTTAATTGGTCTTTATTGGGGGAAAGAAAAACCACAAAACAGTAATTTATTTTTAAAAAACCTTGTTGATGAACTTAAATTTTTATCAGAAAATGGTATGGATACTTATGGTAAAAAAAAATGTAAAGGTAGATACATTTTGTTGTGATAATCCAGCAAAGAGTTTTATTTTATACACCGAAGGTCATGTTGGATATTATTCCGGTCCAAGGTGCACCGTTGAAGGTGAACGTATAAATAATACCATGTGTTTTCTAGGTACGAATTTTCGGAAAAGAACTCATTTAGATTTTATAAACCGTATCGATGATGATCATCATATAGGCAATAGAATATCAATTTTAACTGAAATACCTTATATAAATATGGTGGATGATTTCAGTATTGATTATATGCATTTAGTATGCTTAGGCATTGTTAAGAAATTGATTTTATTATGGTTGGGTATATTTAAAAAATCCCCTGTACATGTTCGCATACAAGGCCAAAATGTAAATATAATTAGTAATCGTCTTTTATTTAATAAAATATATGTAACTGTTGATTTTTCAAGAAAACCTAGGGAATTAAATGACCTAGTGAGGTGGAAAGCAACAGAGTTTAGGCAGTTCTTACTTTATACTGGCCCAATAGTGCTAAAAGGAATTTTATTGGATGAATGTTATAATCATTTTATATGTTTACATGTAGCCTTTAGAATTCTTTTATCTCCTAATAGTACTGAAAAATTAGTCAATTTTAGTGAAAAAATTGTCATACATTTTGTTGAAAAATTTGAAGAAATATACGGTCCTCAATTTTCATCTCATAACATCCATGGGTTAATTCATATAGTAGATGATTATAGGAAATTTGGCTCTTTAGAGGAATGCTCATGTTTTCCTTTTGAAAACTACATAAAGTTTTTAAAAAAAAATGGTAAGAAAACATGAGAGACCACTAGAGCAAGTTATTAAACACTATCAAGAATTTTTAACCTTTAGTGAATCTAAATTAAATAACAATCTAAATAACAATGAAATAATATACAAAAAAAACATGTAAATGGACCTTTACCTGAACTCTTAACTACCGCTCAGTTCCAAATAATTGTTAAAAATAGTATTAAAATAGATATAAAATCTGTTTCCGACTGTTATATAGGCTTTGAATATGATAAAAAATTATGTATTTTTAAAGTTATAAATATTTGTAAAGATTCTATTAATGGTAGAAATGTATTTTTGGCTAAACAATTTAATAAAATTTGTTGTATTTTGAAAAACCTATTAATAGCTTAAAGTTAGGTATAGCATTAGTTGATGAATTATCAGAAGATTACACGACAATTGATATAGAGTTAACAAAATTTTCTAAATATATGATATTAATTGATAATGATAATAATAATGTAGCATACCCTATTTTACACACTCTTGATGTTAATTAATTATCATTAGTTTTATTATAATTATAAATTTTATGTATATATTTTGTATAATTATAAACTAATTTCTCTACTTATTTAATGTATTATCTTTTTATTATTAACTATTACAAGTTGATAAAATACAAAATATTTGTTAATATTTAAATGATATAATATATGTATAGGTACACTTTTGTAATTTACTATGATATTTATTGTTTAACAAATATTATTTATTGTTGTATTATTATAGTTTTATAATGTCAACTTATTCAGTAGTCCACTTTTTTGGTGATGACTCTGTAGAACCTGTACCCAGTACCTGGTTCACAAAGAATAAAACTTGTGCGTGGCCAAAAAACAAAACTCAGATTAAGAAATTTGTACAATTAAATCTATTCCTAATGAAATTGAATTTGATTACCATGAAGCAAGAGTTCTTAAAACAAATATCAGTAAATCATATTATTGTTTAATAACAATAATTTCCTAACTTTTTAAGACTATATAATTTAATACATTTTCATACTAATATAGGATCATTTGAAGAAGCTAATCAATTGGCAGTAAAGGGGTGTACTCAAACTGATCTGTATCTGATATTGGTGACTTAAAAACTAAGAGAAAATTTAAAGTAAAAAAAAATAACCAGTCATATTATTCAGATTGTCCCGAGTATTCAGGTTATTATTTTTACTCTACCCTATTAAATAATAATATATCTATACATTTATTAATTTATATGACTTATCTGTTACAATTATTATTTTATATAGATTCTGATGATGAAAAATGCAATAACAGTAATAAATCAATGAAATATGCTGCAGGTTGGTCTCCTTCTCCAAAAAAGTTTAAAAGTAAGTTTTTACTTTTAACGTATTATAATAAATAAATATTTGTTGTATGTTATTATTATTAACATGAATTATAATATGAGCATATTTTTATTTAAAGCGCTGAAAAGTCTTTAACATTGAACAACTTGTTCAGTAATATTTGGTAAGATGTACTGCTATATAACTATATAATATATAATAATTGATTTTATTTTGTTTTGTTGGCACAATTATAATATTGTATAATAGTGTGGGGAAAGGATAATTTATAAGCAATGGTCTTTCAACATTTAGGGGTGGGTGCATTATGATGATTAATTTAGTAAGATTTATAAGACAGTTCAGATTGTAATACTTGCTCAGACTAGATAACTATTATAATCAGAACATAATATTACCATCAGGTACAATATAATAATATTGATATAAAAAACACAATTACATTATTTTATAACCTGCAAGACCAATTTATTAATATTTTGGAACTTGCAACCTGTATTAATGTAATTTAAGGTAAAATATAAACCTATCTATATAGTTGAAGCTATAGTATTCATAAAAAAAATAATAAATAAAAATAATATTTATATTTTATTGTGTATTTTTTAACTGGACATAAAAATTCAATGATTTATAAATAAAAGTCATCTGTATTTGTATTTATATAAATATAATTAATTTTAACTTAAATAATATGTATACCTATAATATTCATCATAAAAATGTAATTTATAACTAATGGCTGACATAATATATATATGTAATAAAATAACTATAATAACGTACCTATGTATATATTATACTAGCTGATCCCGTGCACTTCGTTCCCCGTTAAATGTACCAACTTTATATGACTCAAACTTTGTTCAATTCTTTATTTAATATTCGGTGTATGGTGTTCAAAATTTATCATAACTTTTCCGCCACCCTGAATAAAAATTCTGATTTGTAGCAGTACATTATCAGGTAGGCAATCTACCTGTGGTAGATCGCGGACCCTGTGCTGTTTGAACGTAAGTGTATGATTTAACTCTAAAGTATCAAAGTTATACCAAGTTTGTCGTTTTCACATAATTCCACCTACGGTAGATTAATATAATCAATTTATACAAAATCCTATACTAACCTAACCGTACTAATATCCGAAGAATAAAATAAAACAAATTTAACCCTTTGTAAATTAACCTATCTTCTTCCCAGAGGTCTAATCTACCCACAAACATTAATTGACCTGCAAAAAGCCAAAGAAGAAGAAGAATTGATAACTCCTTTGTTTATTAAGTTAGAGAATCGATTAAATTCCATAAACCTTCTCCGGAATGAGCTCTTCAATTAAAAAACAAAAATCATAACGATCGGTTCAGTAGTTTCCGAGAACATATCACTCAAAGGTTTTCATTTTCACATTTATATAATATATAGATACAAACATTTTATTAAAACTATTTGCAAATTTGTAAATATTTAAATGCCATGTTTTCACAGATTATATAAATATATCAGGAGGGGATATCCTCATAAAAATAATAATCTTTGGTCCTAACCAACAATTATAGTAAAATACGCGCTACTGTGTAGGTTCTGTTCATAGGTACTATGTAAAATTAATACTGATAAACCATATTTAATTATTTTAAAAATTTTCTGATTTAATTTTTAGATGCTATCAAAACTCAAGGAAAGTTTAAACAGAGTACTCAAAACGAAATGGAAGATATTATTAAGTATGTACTTGCTCAAGCTCCGTTTAACCTAAAGAGACAAATTGAAAAAAAAAAATTAACAATTATTTTTTATTATCTATCATTCTTATTTTATATAAAGTTGTATCATATTTTTTAAGCGATTCAAATATATTAAAGTAGAAAATAATAATATTATTTTATACAATAATATATTGAAATAATCTATACAAGAACAATTATTTTTTTTTGTATTTTTTTTTATTGAGATTGGGTTTGTTTATTTTTTATTTTTTTTTCATTTTGAGCACATCATCTCTATATATACAGTGTGTAGTATCCTAATTCTTATTTTATATACAAAGTTGTAACAATTTTTTTTTGTCCAGTTTATTGAGATTGGGTTTGTTATTTTTTTTTAATTTTTTTTTTAATTTTGAGCATATCATATCTATATTATATACAGTCGTGCAATTAAGTATTATTTAAAAAGATATATCTATTAATTATATTATATACAATATGCAAAATTCATATGAATATATTCATTTAATGTGTATATTAACTATGTTATTTAATGAGTTTTTCATTATATTATAATATAAATTAATAAAAATAAAATTTTGAATTATTATTAATTACAGTTGCTTATTTTATATTTATGTAATATTTGATTCTCCTAGTATTCAACGTAAGTTAAGTTTGATGGTACATTTATTAATCGTTAGAATATCACAAATAAATATTAATATATAAATATTATTTATTTTCTTCTTATATTAATAATCATCCAAAGGGTTCAACCAATATTTATTAGAAATTATATTATATATAAAAATCTATTATCAATGAAAAATTATACATTTATTAATTATTAAATAGTTTTTTGAAATATTTATTTAACTTTGTATAAATATATCATTGCTGTGTGGGTATGTTAGAAACATATTTTCTAAAGCTCTGCCTGATGTAAATACTCTGAGAAAATGGTGTACTGCTGTAAATGGTTTGCCTGGTATAACAAAAGAGTCCTTAAAGCAATTTCTATAAAAGCTGAAGAAATGAAAAATCTTGGTAAAAAGTTGTATGGTTGTTTAATTATGGATGAAATGAGCATAAAACAGCATATTCAGTGGACGGGTACAATACATCAATGTTATGTGGACCTGGTGGTAGTACAGAAAATATGGATAACCTACCATACGCTAAGGATGCACTTGTATTTGTAGTTGTTGAAATACTTCTTGGAAAATTCCGTTGCATATTATTTAATAAAAGGTATTGCTGCTGAAGAGAAGGCAAATATTTTAAGGTCCATTCTTATAGAACTTCAGGATACAGGTATAATAATAAAAACTTTAACATTTGATGGTGCAGCTGACAACCTTGCAATGGCTTCTGTGCTAGGAGCGAGTCTATATTATCCTGATTTAAATGCTTATTTTGAGCATCCTGTTACACAAGATACTGTGCATATTATATTGGACCCGTGCCATATGGTAAAAAACTGCTAAGAAATACTTTGGGAGACTGGAGTCTACTTTTTAACACTAATAACAAAGCAATTATAATAATAATAATAAAATATAATAATAAATGTTTATTGCAACATCATAAATATACAATGGTTAAATAGACTATAAATAAAAAGTTGCAACTCATCATATAAGCAAATAAGCTTGAAATGCTTAAATGCGGATGAGTTGAGTTCTATTAAGGTATAATAAAGGTGCACAATGTAGGTAAACAAAAATAAAATAAATGGAATTATTTAAAAAAAAATGGTTAACATTCAGAATGAGAGTGGTGTTCATGCAGCTACTAAAATAAAAGCACGACACATTAGTTACTTTAAGGAGAAGATGAAAGTCAGTTTAGCTGTGCAAATGTTCAGCAATAGTGTTGCAGATACAATGTTATTTTGTAAAAATGATTTGCAGATGGCAGAATTTGATGGGGCCGAACCAACTGTTGAATTTTGTCGTAGGATAAATAACATTTTTGATATATTAAATACGAGAAATTATTTAAGTAAAAGTCCATACAATCAACCAATTAGTAACTCACAGAACATGAAATAACAATTTATATTGAAGATTCCATTGAATATTTAAAATTCTTCAGTGCTTAGAAAAGAAACCTAAAACAGGATTGCGTTCAATATTAACATCCGAAAAGCAAACTGGTTTTATGGGTCTTATTATAAGTCTTAAGTCTTCTTAATCTAACAACAGAATTAATTTAAACATTTAAACTATCATTTATACTATCATACAAATTTAGCCAAGACCATATAGAAATGCTGTTTTCAGCTATCAGAGCAAGAGGTGTATAAGAGCTGCCTATAAAGCAATAATTATTCATGCTGAAGTAAAATCATCTAGTAATGCTAATTGCATGGCATTATATGACACTTCAGTACTTCGCATTTCGAGTGTGGAAAAAAAATAAAGAGGATCAACAAACAGGACTTTTAGATTTGCTATGTGCTGCTAATGGACAAACAACATAGGAGAAGATGTACTGACTGTATATCAACACAGTGCATTTATAGATGACATAGTGGCTTACATAGCAGGTTTTTTTGTGAGAAAATTGAAGAAAAATATTCTGTTTAGTTTGTGCAGCTGAGTTAGAGTCAGAATCATCAGGGTCTCAACTTTCAAACGGAAAAAATCGAGGTGGCTTGGTTAAGGGAAGTAACAGTGTGATCCAGATTTGTAGAATTGGAGAACGGATAGTAAGGGAATTTAAACAAATAGATAAACCTAATACAGTCAGTAAAATAACACTTTCAGCAATGAAATATATAAACATAGAAAAATACTTCATAAATTTGTCAATTCACATCTTAGATCAGGAACCACTTAATAACCATCTTCTACAATTAATCAAGAATATTTTAAATTATTACATTACGATCCGTCTTCATCATATCAACAAAAGTACTAATGAAATAGATGATAAAATCAGGTCATACTATACAAAATTAATTTTATTTAAACACCAGTAATAGTGTTTTTAAATGATTTTACAAAATTAAATATACTGTTTTTTTTACCTTGTTTGTAATGAAGATAAGGTTTAACCAAAAAATCTTTGTAATATAAATTTTGTTTCTAGAGTATCTGAGTATTAATCAATGTAGATTATAAACCTGTCGTTAACATACATCACAGTGAAAACAACAATAGTAATTTAATTTCGATTAATAGAGTAATATAATATTATAATATATTGTATATTATAACTATGTATTTAAAATATCAAAAGTCATAATATTTAATAACTTATGTTTATAGTGTTTAAGTTTTCTTATCAGTAGTCTTATCTAAAGTAAAGCCAAAGAACTTGTAAGATTTTTATATAAAGTCGCTGATAAAACCGTAACTCAGTCTGTCTCCCTCGCACATATGTTGGCTTCAATGTATTATACGTACAACACCTATCATTCCTATTATATTATAAGTCTATGAGAAGAAATACAGCTATCAATTTTGATTACATATTAACTATTGATTAACTTTCTTACCTGAAATGAATGTACACATAAAAAATGTGATGGATCTTAAGAACCCTACGTGGCGATAATGAAAAGTGTAGGGTCATTAGATCCTTTATTCAATTTTAAGTGTTATAACCAATTATGTAAAAATACAATATTTAACTTTTTATATAAATTACACACTCGTACATCAGATATAATAAATAATAATAAATTTTATTTTTAAATTAAAAAAAAATTACATAATAATATAACATGCAATATAATATATTGTATTTTATATATAAACAAATGATTATAACTGTAAATTATGTCTACAATACATTTTTGTGTTTTTTTATAAAGCAATCTTTACATATTTGTAGTTTACATCCATCGCAATAAGTAAATACTTTTCTTGTTTTGTTTTGACCTTCTTATCTACCAAGATTTTCCGACTTCTGCACATAACACGGCTAACACATTCTTTTTTGTTGTGTTTTAAGCCCTGTGAAATAGGTTGAGGAACATTTGGTTTATACATATAGTAGCTGCTTGACAATTTCTTCTTTGAAAGTAGTTATTGTTATGGATTTATTCTTGGTTACAGACTTAAATAATGATAATGCATTGACCGATGATGTGGATAAAAGAATATCATGGGCCACTTTTTTATACCATTTTATAGTCTTCTTCAAAGGTGTACTGTAAGATGACATTTGATCAGAACGATCTATGTAGGATTTTCCTGTAATATAATCTTCGACAAAGAGGGGCTTTTTTATTATCCTGTCCCTTTTTTGTATTTCGATGACTTGGTCAGAGTGTTTTGTTGTCAATAACATGTGACGTTTATCCCGCCATTTAAGAATAATTACGTTATTCTCTGTGAAGCAATTATCTCTCCTTTTTAAAATTTTTTTTTAACTACGTTTTCCGGGTTATGCTTACGATTGGCCCTCAGATTTCAAACCAAATGTGTATTTTCTTGGTTAAGTTTTTCAGCTAACTTAACACTCGAATACCAATTGCCAGTATACAAGGTTCGTCCAAAATTAAGATATGGCTCCATTAACTTTAATACAATTTTATAAGACACGTCAGTTTCTCTTACTGCTTCTTTCCCGGCATAAATGTTATAACGCAAAGTATAAAAGTCTTTTGAACATAGTTTGAATATCTTAATTCCGTAACGATGTCTTTTATTCTTCAGGTATTGTCTAAAGACTAATCGTCCTATAAAAGGAACCACACTTTCGTCTATACACACTTTGTCTTCAGGAATGTACCATTTATTGAAATTGGCTACTAACATATCAACTAGGTGTTGTATTTTGTTTAGTCTACCATGCTCAATAATTTCATTATTTCCACAATGAAACATTCCTAGAATCAACTCAAATCTGTTACGACTCATTACTTCTGGCACTTTAGTTTTATAAAGGAAATCTGTTCTCCAGTAATCTCTTAAATTTGGCATATTCACTAATCCCATCCATATAATAAGTCCAAAAAAGTTCTCACCTCAGTACGGTCAATAGGAGTCCATTTTTTCAAACGAGAACATTTTGATAATCTACGCGAATTTATTATTTGGTGTGCATGACGATTGGTCTAAGAAACTAGAAAATCTAGTACATTTTCATCAATAAATAATGTATAAAAGTCTATTGAAGCGCAATATTTCATTGAATCAATGATATCTGGATTAATACCAACATCTAAATTTAGTGGGTTGTAAACTATTGTATTTAAATTACCAGTTACTGGGTCCTATATAATTTCATTGTTTGGCATACAAACATCAACATCATCTTCGAACTCATCGGCTGTGAGTTGAGCACATTCGTCGATATCATTTTCCAAATCATCATTGTCACAATTCCCTATATTTTAATCTTCATCATGCTGTTGATTTGGTAAATAATCTGGATCAATATCGGAATCATCGACCTATATTTTACAATTAAATATATTATAATTTTAAACAGTACAGTATAGTTTATTAAAAGATAATTTAAAGTTATTAAAGTTATTTAGGTAATTTAAAAATGATTTCCAACAGATATGTAGTAAGCAATATTAAAAATGTAAAAAATACCTTATCATTAGAGATAGGATATTGATGACTAAAAATGGATAAAAAACGATCCCCGAAAACATTGCAGTTCTAATTACATGTATTTAACAAACCAATGGTCCAAAAATTATGCTTATAAAACACTTTCTTTTAACTTATAAACTACAGAAATATTATTGTAAAAACCATACTGAATTGGATATTAGAATGCAGCAAATATACATAAATTACATAAATTAATGAACATTCAACAATATTTACAATACCAGTTTTTTTTGTCATACTAGTTAAATTCACACACTTCGTGTGATACCAAGTTAAACAATAATCACAACTTATAGTATTGTTGGCACATTTTTTTTTTGGCAAAGTGGCCACAGCCATGAAGAATGACAAAATTTTTTCTGAGCCACAATTCTCTGTACTTTTGACCAAGCAGATAGTGAAAAAATTATTTTACCTAAAAAATACAATTTAGTAATTTTGTGTAATTATAAAAATAAATAAATTATGGAATACTTACTTGAAACAAATCAACCAACTCATCAATTATATTATTTATTATGATATTGTATTTATTCAGATCAGTGTCATTTATTTCAAAATTTGAACTTAAAGACTGGTTTACAACATCTACGGTACAAAACCATGACAATATTAATTTATTGCGTTCATTGTAGTGCAATAATTTAAAAGGTTTTTTAAGCAATACTTTTCTACTCTTTTTTAAGCCAATGACTGTTTGTAGAGCTCCCTTAGGTTTTCCTCTACGTTTAGTAGTAGGAATTATAATGCAAGAAATATCTAAAATAACAAATTGAAAAAAAAATGTAATTTGTTATGACTTATAAATCATCTCATAAAATTAATAAAATTAAATAATACCTAAACCTGTTCCTTGTTTAACATAATGATGTTTTACACGATGCAGTTCAGATATCATCTAGAAAATACATTTAATACATGTTTCAAAAAATAATTAAATAGGTACTCAGTTTCCCCTCACAAGTGTTCTCTTCACGACAGCAAATAGTAATAAAACACTTAAAATTAAATCTCAAATCTATCTGACCTTCTCTGTACAAAACCACGAAACTCATGGCATCTTTCTCGTCGAACCACAGCTCTCCACTCCCCTTATACTAGGATACTACTGGTTGCTGGAAAATGGCGTGACCATAGACTACAGCAAAAAAGAAATCTCTCTGCTCTCTGTCAAGGATAAAATACCTTTTTGTTTAATGGCAGATCATGATCCCAATGGTCTCATCAATGCGTTAAAAACTCTTAACATCTCTGAGGATTCTCCTTTTTTGCACGAACACCCTTCAAACTAAATATATGAATCTCTCCCTTTTGAAACAGAAAAAAACATAGCCCTCAACGATATACCCCTCATTAATTATCAACAAACTTTAATGACTTTTTTAATACAAAAACACCAACCTATATTTCAAGATAAACCCGGTCTTCATAATTTTTTCTCCTAAAAATTTAATTTCAAACCTCACGAACCATACAAAATAAAACGGTATCCAGTCCCGTTCTCTCGTCGTCCCGCTGTGCAGAAGGAAGTCGACAAAATGGTTCAGTGGGGGGAGATCAGATTCCCCATATAATAACCCGTTAGTTACCGTTATCAAATCCGACGGCTCAATACATTTATGTCTAGACGCACGTAAGCTTAATTATATTATTCTAACTACGCGAGATGCGTCCCCTCCCATAGACAATATACTGGCAAAGTTCAATAATAAATGCTTCTTCTCTTCGCTAGATTTTTCAACAGGTTATTGGCAAATCCCATTAGACCCCGAGGTACGTCAGTACACTAGTTTTCTAAATTATGGGCGTTCCTATCAATTTTGTGTTGTCCTTTTTGGATTAAATATTTCCAATGCTGCTTTTGGAAAAGGCCTCGAAGCTGCGTTAAATAATTATTAATTACCGTTTCCAAACGATATTCACACGTATGTTCATGATATCTTAGTATCATCTTCATCTTTCGAAAACCATATAGTACCTTAGAGTGGATTTTTCACAAAATATCATTAGCAGGTTTAACTTTAAAATTTAAAAAGTGTCACTTCAATAAACAGCATATTAAATTCCTAGGTCATTTTATATCTCCTCAAGGTATGGTATTGGACCCTGTTCAAAGTGGTGTGTAGGTAACATAACATGGTAGATTGGGCAATTACCAGAGCGCTCAATAAGTATGATAATAATACTACTCATAATAATATAGCAACTTTTGATGTGATAATAATAATTATAGGCTGGAAAATGTTGTGAAGTTACATAGTTTTTGAACCTCCGAAAACCACCCACGAATCTCTGTGGTTTGAGGTCCGTGACCTACTAGCGAAGCCGGATTATGAAAGACTCGTACATTATCGATCGGAAACAGCTGTGAATTTAAATACAATTAATTCTAGAAAAGTAATGTGCAATATAGCTCAAGGATCATTCAACAACCATCTTCAAAGTCATTGGATTTTTGAGTTTTTCCATAGTGAAACGTCAGGATCGGAAGTAGTACAGTCACCACTAAATTGAATATATTACAAATTGAATAAAACAAATATTGATACGATACCCGTTCAGTTAGTTGATCAAGATCATAATCCGAATTGCAATTTTGGTGAGACATTAACAATTGTGTTACATATTAAACGTTACGGGTCTTGAGATGGGATTAAAATTCAATATAAACCCACTACGTCGGATCAGTTCAACTAGTCATAAGACTAAAGTGCTACCAGTAACATCAAATAAAATAAAAAAATTAACGTTGCAGAATAAAAAAAATTTACATGCTCTGGGTTACATGCTCTAGGTAATTAAAGCAGAATGCCTGAAAGTGATATTTTATATATAACTTCACAGTACGAAACGGATTCTAAAATTACAAAAATTGAATATCATTCATACACACCGTATACTACATAATTTAATAAAAATGATGAAATACGTATATCAATCCAGCAAACGGATGTCTACCCATATCTACACGAACGCTTTATTTTTAAAGTGAAACTATCTAATAACTGTTACTCTTACCTCTTCGAACAAATACGATTGGAAATCAATATGATAGAAGTAGATAGCACACGTGTTCTTGTAACCACTAGCTCGTTGGAAGGATACTTATCCGGTACACCAGACAACTACAATTGTTATGAAAATTCTGACTGGAATTTAAAAAACGCGACGCAATTGTAAAATGAGAGGGGTGAATTTAGTGCTTGCACTAAACCTTTGAAATATTGGTTAGGTTTGTTTGAAGACTATAAAAGAATATTGGTGAATTCTAGATTCTAATTAATATTAACTTGAAGTCATAGCGATTTAAATTCTTTAAGTTACTGTTTCTGAAGGTAAAGTCATCGTTGATGTACACAGATATACAGAAGCTAAGGTAAATGAAATAAGATCGGATATATGTAATAATATAATAATATGTATAATTGATACGAATAACTATAGTGCTCCGAGGCATAATATAAACAATATGCTATAGAAATATAAAATGCCTATTCAGCGTCTCCTGTACTACAGTGTGAATAATTTTGCTTATAATCTACATAATACAGAGTGTGTTGTTTGCATTCAACACTTCCCCTTAAACAATATACCCTAACTTATAATTAATATATCTAATTACCAACATCTCCCTGAGTTCTTGGAATCTTGGAGTTGACTTGGTCAATATGTCAGCTAACTGCTCCTTGCTTGGCACATACTCCAGAGAAAACATAACTTCACTGAACTTCTCACGAATGTAGTGATAGCGAACATCGATGTGTTTTGTTCGCTTATGGTATTCTGGATTTTTCACTAGTTTGATGGCGCTTTGGTTGTCTGCATACAGAACTAGTGTATCTCCCTGTGTCTCCGGGAGATCACTGATAAGTAGCGTCAACCAAGTAAGTTCCTGTATCTATTGGCTCAGCGCCATGTATTCTGCCTCAGTAGTCGAAAGTGCTACCGATTTTTGCCTTTGTGAACACCATGCCACGATTCCATCTCTCATCATGAAAATTAATGATGATGTTGATCGTCTTGTTATTGTGTCACCGACATAGTCTGCGTCACACTATATACACTAAATTTGGTGTTAATCTAGAATCATAAATTAAACCATAGTTAAACGTTCCCTTTAAATATTTAAATATACGTTTCACCGCATTCCAATGAATTATCAGAGGCTTTTCTAAATAACTACTGACAAGATTTACTGCAAATGTTATGTCAGGCCTTGTTGCTTGGCTTAGATACAACAAACTTCCAACTGATTCTCTGTATGGAACTTCCTCTGTATCCAATGGTCCTGACGGGTGTCACCGGTTTCCGCCAAAAATGACCTTTCCGTTTTCCGCCAATACCTTTTTCCGCCAAACCAGAAAAAACGTCATTTCCTTTTCCGCCAATTATAAATTAGGTATTGAATTTTAAAGTTTAGGAACCCTTACGTAAAGATTTAATAATTGCACACTATAGAGTTAAAAAATAATAATATTTTTTCCAGTTATTACTTATTATATATTAGTAATGATATTAGTGTACCGACAAAATAAGTCAAAAAATATAATTTTATCATAACACTAATTAGGTAGGTATAATAGATATAAGTATTAAAGAAATGATATTTATATTTGCATTGTCTTGATGACAATATGTCAATATGTCAGCGCTTGATTAAGTATAATTTTTTTAATACTTATATCTATTATACCTACCTAATAAGTGTTATGATAAAATTATATTTTTTGACTTATTTTGTCGGTACACTAATATCATTACTAATATATAATAAGTAATAACTGGAAAAAATATTATTATTTTTTAACTCTATAGTGTGCAATTATTAAATCTTTACGTAAGGGTTCCTAAACTTTAAAATTCAATAATTTATAATTGGCGGAAAAAGGAAAGACGTTTTTTCTGATTCGGCGGAAAAAGGTATTGGCAGAAAACGGAAACGTAATTTTGGCGGAAACCGGTGACACCCGTCCTGACAAATTTGGATCTAATGAGTGTTGTGGATTTGTTGGAATATGCAGGACGTTGGCTTCTTCCATATTGAACCTCTCCAAAATGCGCTTGCAATATGAAGATTGGTGTATGAAAATTGAACCATCAGGTCTCTGATCAATTTCAATATCCAAGAAATGATCAAGTTCACCTTCCTTCGTCTCGAAGTTGTCCTTTAGGTAGTTCACCATTGTATCCACCAGCTCGTTGTTTGTTGCTGCGATTAGTCCATCGTCTACAAAAATAGCGACAATTAGTAATTGATTATTTTATTGCTTACGAATACACAAGGGTCTGCTTTTGTTTTCTTTAGGTCAAAGTTCCTCAGCATATTTTTGAAGGTTTTGTTCCAGCACCCGGGTGCTTATTTCAACCCATATAGGCTCCGTTGAAGTTTGCATTCTAATTGTGTTCCATCTTCGTAACCATTTGGCTGTTTCATATAAATGTCTTCTTCAAAATCTCCATATAAGAACGCTGTTTTTTGTATTTTTAGAAAGTTTTTGGAAAGATAGCTCATTTAGACCACCACAAGTGAAGTGGTATTTGTTATCGCACTCAGAACAAACAATTTCGTCTTCCGAAATTAGTGTGTCCTTGCACTTTGAACAGTTGGACATTATTATTTTAAAATTTAGAACGGTGGGTAAATAATAAGATAAGACAGTAATATACAGTACACACTACACACGTCGTATCACGACGAGCGTAGAAATGAGACTGGACTGAAGGTTTCTTTTAAATCTATTGCATGAACTTGTGCACATCCGTTTATTACTAATCTAGCTTTAAATCGATATATTTCTCCATTTGTTTTGTACTTGGTTTTATATATCCATGCATTATTTATTGGATTTTTATCTCTTGGTAAATCTACTAATTTTTAAGTTTCATTTTTCTGCAACGATAACATTTCGTCGTCCATCGCTGCCTTTCAATCGTCTGCATTTCTACATGTCGTAGCTTCTTTATATGTTACTGGGTCATTACATGATGAGAAAAATGCATCTCTATACCTCGTAGGTTTTTGATTTGTGCTCTGTCCCTGAGTATCATCTGTTGTTGATCCTCTACTTCTACTGGCATCTGTTTATCATCGTCCAGTTTTTCTTCGTCGTCATTGTTAACTTCCTCATCTTCAGCTTCACCTTCCTAATTTACTTCTTCCTCTTCTTCTTCATTTTCTTCTTCATTCATAATTCTTACTTCTGAAGTTGTTGACGGATTTGTGGACTCTTTGAATATTATATCTCTGCTCAGTGAAACTTCTCTTCCACCAAAGTATATACGATAACCTTTCGTTTCTTCTGAGTATCCAACAAAAATACCTTTTCTTAATTTTTTATCCCATTTTCTTCGTTTTTCTTGCTGTATATGAGCATAAACTTCTGTTATGAATTGGTATTATTAAACATAGGAAGTAAGTAAGGATGTAGCAGTTAGTAAACAAATTAGAAATGTAGTATTTATAAAACATTTAGAATTACGAAATGAAATGATTATTGTAAATTAGTGTAAACAGGTACAATCCCGAAACTGCGAGTAAGACTTTTTTTATAGGAGGGATTGTCTTACATAAGTTTAGATATAAGGAACATTAAGATTGTAAGAGGATTAGTGGAGAATGGACAGTGCCATTGCCTGTATATGTTCAACTCAATAAACTTTATAACTGAAAAGACGTGTGTGTGTTACTTTATTTAATAAATCTATATTCAAACTCTACAAGTACGAGGCTACGGTCAACCGACTTGTAACATTGGTGGCAGATCAAAAGAACCATTAATTCGAACGAGACGCATCTTTCAATCAGGGCGAGTTAAATTGTTTTTGAAAAAGTCAAGGTACATACTTCCAGTCAACTACGGATCATTCCACTCAACTACAGAGCATTCCATTCAACGACAGAGCATTCCAGTCAATTACATAGCATTCCATTCAACTACAGAGCATTCCAGTCAATTACTGAGCATTCCATTCAACTACAGAGCATTCCAGGCAATTACAGATCATTCCAGTCAAAGTCGAAGCATTCCAAACAAATTCACCATTCAACGGTGCCAAAGACAGTAGAGGAACAACTTCAATAATGTTAAATTTATTGGTATTGTAAGTTGGTTTTTATATATATTTTAAGCATATCTATAAGTTTCTATCCATATTTTTCTATTTATATTTAATTGATGAGTGACGAAAGTGCTAGTATTAATAACTCAACACAGAACGATAGTAAAGACGAAACATTTATTCCAGATAGGTCATTTGATTCTGATGATAGTAGGCAAGCGACATCTAGTAGGCATAGCGATAGTAACCAAGTAGAAAATACAGTAGAAAATACAGTGCAAAATCAGAGTACTTTGTTAGGACTTCAAAATCCTGATACTGGTAGGAATACATTACATTTGCCAATACAACGTAGACGGTTAGGAGTACCAGCAGAATTAAGTTCAAACATCGTTAAGGAAGATATTTCTTTTGATAGTAGTACTCAGTCGTACAGTTTTGTGCCGAATTTGGATCAAACATATACAGAATTAGTAGATATAAATGTAATTACTTCTTTAGAGGCGGCATTTCGAATTTTACCAAAGTTTGACAAGCAAGACTCTGAAGGCATACATCATTTTATAAAGTCGTCAGAATTAGCTTTTTCGTGTATTAGTAAAACCGTATTTACTGGGAAGAAAATTCTATACTGGGTGATTCTTTTATCAAACAACACTCATTATTTCAAAAAGTGTAAATTTTTTTGAAAATATTTTTTTACATAGTTTCAAGTCGCTTATAAAACAACGTTTTTATTAAAAAATTATATTTTTAAATATTTTTTATCCTTATAATTTTTTAAGTTTTTTACTTTTTTGAATAACAACATAGGGTTTTAATTTTATATTCCAAAGCAGAATATTTTTCTTAGTATTTTGATACATGAAAATTGAATTTGGGTTGAGTAGTGTATGAGTTATAAATATTCAAAGTTTGAAGAGCGGTGAAGTTGACAAACATTTCGCGGGGTAACCCCGAACCACTCCACTCCGCACGTCTTAATATTTTTGAAGTATTTAAATTATTAAAAATTTCCAAGTTCAACACAACACCATATGGACCACAGAGTAATGGAGCATTAGAGCGAAGCCATTCAACATTAGGGAATTATTTGCGACATTATGTCAACAAAGATTCAGCGAATTGGGATGAATTTATTCCATATGCAATGTATGTATATAATACAACAGAGCATGAAACGACAAAATTCCAACCGTATGAACTACTTTATGGATTTCCAGGGAAAATACCTACGTCATTAAAGAAGACACCCGAACCAAGGTATAATTATGAAGATCATAATTATGAAATTAAGCAAAAATTTCAACAATCTTATGAAATTGAAAAACAACGTATAGTAAATTCAAAAGAAAATACAAAAGGACGATATGATAATAAAGTTAATCCACTGAAATTGAAAATAAATGACAAAGTTTGGCTTATGGAATAACAACAAAAAAATAAGTTAGCACAGAAATGGCTAGGACCATATGTAATAGCAGAAATAAATAGTAATGAAAATGTAACAATTGTCAGAGGACAAAAATTAGTTTAAGTACTTTTTATATAGGAGGGATTGTCCTACATAAGTTTAGATATAAGGAACATTAAGATTGTAAGAGAAGGAGTGGAGGATGGACAGTGCCATTGCCTGTATATGTTCAACTCAATAAACTTTATAACTGAAAAGACGTGTGTTTGTTACTTTATTTAATAAATCTATATTCAAACTCTACAAGTACGAGGCTACGGTCAACCGACTTGTAACACTTCGCTCCGAATATTTTTAGGTTATTTATATCTGGTGTTTCATTGAACCATAATTCGTAAGGCGTTTTTCCTTCTTGGCCTGTATTACCTGTACGGTTTATTGTATATACGGCTGTATTCACTGCTTCTGCCCAAAGCGTCTTAGACAAATTTTTACTGTATAGCAAAATTCTGGCAGCTTCTACAATTGTTCTCATTGACCTTTCCGCTTTGCCATTTTGTTGAGGTGTGTATGGTACACTCGTCTCGTGTTTAATTCCAAATTTATCCAATATGGTTTTAAATTCAGCATTTTTATATTCCAAACCACAATCACTTCTTAAAGTAACTACTGAAACATTCAACTGATTTTTGAACGTATTTAAAAATAATTCAAATTTATTTTTTACTTCCGATTTTTGGCTCATAAAATACACATACGTGTAACTAGAACAATCATCTTTGAAAATAACAAAATATCGTTTACCTCCAAGTCAGTTTTCCTCCATAGGACCACACACATCACTGTGGATTAGCTGACCTGGCTTTGTAGTTTTAGTAGTACTCTATGTGAATGGCTCTCTGTGTTGACCATAAATGCAACCTTCACAGAAAAAATTGTTCTTTGTGTCTGTAAATGGGTTAACTTAAAATGTTTTAAGTAACTCCGAACATATTGAACATTCTGATGACTCAACATTTCATGCCACTGTAGTAACGTGACATTTTTAATCTCAACATTTGCTTGGTCAGCCTGTTGTAATGGCCTAGTTCTCAGAAGCATTGAAAACCTTTTATTCTCACGAGCTCTAAAATAGCAACTATACGATTTTTTTTTTTAAATATTACTATCTTTCACCATTTGTATACCTTTATCGAGGCATGCTCCATACGAAAACAGATTTACCTTGAGATCAGGTTAAAACGTTCAATAAATGACTGTCAATTCATTTATCACCAATTCTCGCTTGAACATTTATATTGCCTTTACCAATAGGGATAATATATTTACCATCGCCAATACGTACTGGTAACTGCACTTCAAATGTCTCATAGTTACTTAACCATTCTCTTCTGCTGGTCATGCGATCGCTAGCACCTGAATCCACATACCATTTTTCTGACTCACTGATTTCAATGTCCTTTGATTGTACCCCAACCAACGCATTTCCTGAGTTTGATTCGCTCTTTTTTTGCTTTTTGTTCTTTTAAGAAAATCCGGCATTCACGCTTCCAATGCCCGGGTCTTTTGCAATAATTGCACTTTCCTGGTTTTTTTTATCGTTGTTCCGTTGATTTTCAGAATTGCCAATTTTCGTGTGTTTTTCTTTATTATATGTTCCAAACGATTTCTTTGCCGAAAACGCACTACAACTTGCAGACATCATGTCCTTGAGTTTGCCTTGTTTCCTTGAGTCTGGATGACAAATTAGACAATGTTTTATCCACATTTGGTATCGAATCCCATACGCTATAGAAATGTATGTAATTTTCTGGCAAAGTCATTAATATTTTAGTCATCAACATCGAGTCCGATATTGGTTAGCCCAACTGTTTTAATTTTCTACTAAGACTCTCCAATTACGAAATATGAATCGCCATATTGTCATCTGGGTTCATAACATAGCTGTAGAACTTTTGTTGAATCAACGTTACACTCGAGTCCGACTTTTGTTCATATACACTAAGTAACTTGTCCCACATTTCCTTAGCCGTGTCACAGTTCATTATGTACTGCAGTGGTTGTTCGTCCACTGACGTAACTATATACTTTTGAGCCTTATTGTCAGCTTTTTTAAATATTGAATAATCAACATCATACCTTTTTCTTGCATCATCTTCAGTTTCTCAGCTAGATTTTGTAAGAACGGGTTTTTCGATTTTCCAGTCACAACGTCAAATATATCGGCTGCAGTCATTATGACTTTTATTTGGAACTTCCATGTTTCCCAATTTTCATCACCTGTTAGTTTATTAATTTTTATAGATTCGTTTTCCATAATAACGAATTATCTGTACTCTGTCTGTACACTATAAACGTAATAATAACAAACACAGTTTCTGCGCTTCACACAATCGATGCACTTACACTACACCGCACTATACTTCACGAATTATTATTGCTGTACACTGTCTGTACACAAACAAGCGACCCGTAAATAAATAATTAATGTATTAAAACATACACGACTTTGTTATCAATACCTTACTACTGGGCTCATAACCTGTTGATGTACACAGATATACAGAAGCTAAGGTAAATGAAATAAGATCGGATATATGTAATAATATAATAATATGTATAATTGATACGAATAACTATAGTGCTCCGAGACGTAATATAAGACAACGACTAATTGTCCTACAGGCTACTACATAGAAAGAATATGCTACAGAAATATAAAATGCCTATTCAGCGTCTCCTGTACTACAATGTGAATAATTTTGCTTATAATCTACATAATACAGGGTGTGTTGTTTACATTCAACAGTAATTTTAAACAAAATAACCTTTAAGGTCCCACATATAACGGTCGACGATGAAGACAGGTTAAAATTATTGAAACTTATAGAAAAAGAAAAAAGTTTGTTTATTCCTTTTAGATCTTTTGAAACTTTTGAACATCCTGAACTCGGAACCACTAAAAAAGTTGTATGGAATTTGAAAACTACTGCTTTAAAATTAGAAAAAACACGATTTATCATAATTGTAATACAAAAAGGACGCAAAACTGTGTTAACGAAATATTGTAGTATATTCGATCATTGTAATCTAACAAACGTCAAAGTATTTCTGAACTCAAAAGCTTATCCATACAATAATTTGAATTTAGATTTTTCGAAAAATAATTTCACCTTATTGTATAATATGTATACCTACATCGTTTCAAGAATCGTACTATGAAAAAATATTCGTAACCCGATATTGAGCCCTTCTACTTTTCTATCAAACGCGCCAATTATAGTTATCGATACTTCAAAACAGAATGATTCAGCCACAGCCTCAGCAGTGGATGTTCAATTGGAAATTGAAGCTTCAGATTCGCTTACAGGTGTAACTGCTTATTGTTTATTAATTCATGATCGTTTTGTAGAATATTTATCTTTTACTAGAGAAGTAAGAAAACTTGTGTGAATATATTTAAGAATTAATAAAATAATAATAAAAAAAAATCTATTATTACATACTTTGTGTTCTGTACTTTAAATAATGAATTCATTTTAAAAATAAGGTTTGTTGGAAAAAAAAACATTCAGTGTGTACACTAAATATTATATTTTTGAGTAAGCTGAAAAACCGATTTTGAGTGGACAATCTCCCTGTAATTTTAAAATACGGTAAATATTTTGCTGAAGCGGAGAATTCGTGGACAACAAATGTGAAATCTCCCTGTAAAATGCTATACAGTAAATATTTTTGTGTGAGTGGCAAATAGGTGGACACAGAGTGGGAAATCTCCCCGTGATTTTCACCGTTGTAAAATCATTGTGTTCAAGCGGGACATCCTCGCTTGAACGTTGTGCAATTACCGAGGTGAAAAAAAAGAGACTGTGAACATACAAATCTATACTACTATAACTACTACCTTTAATTACGAATCATTACAAAAGATTATAATACATAATACTAATAATACAAAGAAGCAAACTATATGTATATGCAACTAGAATTACTACTTTTCCAAACCTTTATTAATTATTAGTTAATACACTTAATTATCATTATAAGAAATAAAAAAACAAAATAAAAACAAAAATTAACATTACCATATATTAGACACTAACCTTTATATACATAATACTTAATTAAATAAGTAAAATACACACAACTAGAATTACTATTTTATTAAACCTTTATAAATAACTACAATATAGTTTACATTCAAAATATCATTAAAATAATAAAAAAAAATTAAATCATAAAATCTTTTTGGTTATTCTTAATTTGATAAACACA